TTTATGGCTTTAGGGCTTTAGGGTTTAGGGTTTTTAGGGTTTCAGGTTTTTAGGTTTTTAGGGTTTAGGTTTTTAGGGTTTCATGCTTTAAGGTTTTTAGGGTTTAGGGCTGAAGGCTCCTAAGAGGGGCTTGGGCTTTCTTGGGGAGGGTCTCGGCTGTGGGGGCTAGGGTTTGGGATCTCACTACAAGGGTCCAGGATCCTGAGGGTCTATATATATATATATATATACATATACACATACATACTCATGTACATATATATATATATATGTATATATATGTATATATAAATATATATATGCAAAGATCCTAGAGTCTCCGTGGCAGTGTCTGTTTTTGGTCAGCCAACTTTATGGCTAGGATCCCCAATAATTGTCAATATCATTCGGTTAACCTAGAAAAGGAACTACACTGGAGACTATAGGTGTAGTTTATATAATTAAACCTTACAGCGGTTCCTACAAAGGGTACCTTAAGGCCCTATTACAGGTATAGACTATATGGATGAAGTAGCTTTCTCGTAAAACACACGGTGCTTCAAAAGCTGACCCTAAGCAGTACACCCTTGTGCCCTAACCCTAATTGTTTAAACCTTACTTTATGCAGCTGTACCACTGCAACCTCAAAGCCAAATCCCTCCAAGTTGGTTTTTTCATACACTGGTTATAAGAAAAGCAAGGTAGAACGTGTCCCAGGTAGCTTCTACAGGGGGCTTGCGGAGACCTGGATAAAGAAGCTGAGCACCATGCGTGCTAGCCCGAATGGGGAGTCGTCCCAGATTTTAAGGTTCAGGCTTTAGGTTTTGGTTGGAGGGATTATAGGGGGGTTTCCGAAAAGAGGAGACCCTAATATAGTACCCTAAATACTAGGATCCTTCTTATAAGGACCCCAAATTAAGGTACCCCTTATTCTCGGAAACTCCTATAGAGGTTTGGGGCTGCATGATTTGGTGTTCGGATTTGTCGGGGTGTTGGGCGTGCAGTGTGGAGCCTGGTTCGGTTTTTTTTGATGTTTTGTTCGGGTCCTCAAGCTTCACCAACCGGACCTAAAGCCTAACCCCAAAGCCGGAAGCCCTAAACCCTATAAGCCCTGGTCTTCCCTTGGGTTTAGGGTTTAGGGTCATGTAGTATAATATCCCCAAAGCCCTGCTCTGATTATTAAGGCCCCTACACTTGGAGGTTCATGGGTAGTTATAAGTGGGGCTATAAGCCCCTAATATGGGTTATTACAACTAGTTACCTTACCTATAACCCCACTTATAACTATACCCATGAACCTCCAAGTACCGGACCACTGAGAGGATCCACAAAGCAGGTCTTTCAATTAAGTACCCTTTAGTATAGGGTCCCGCCATTTGGGGAGCTATGTTTTAGATCCTGGCGGGGGTCTGGGTACAGTATGTCAGACGCATAAGAATAAGCACCAAAAAGTTGGAAAGCCGACTAAGGAGAATGAGTGCTGGGATTCCCTATACATTACTCTTAAGGATTGAGGCTACTGAGTTTCCAACTGTTGGGCTTCTACTATATGCTTGGCTAGCGGTATAAGATTCCCGGCGTTAAGATTGAACAGCAGGAGGCGGTTTAGGGTTTAGGGTTTAGGGTTTAAGGTTTAGGGTTTACGGTTTAGGGTTCAGGGGTACCCTTAATTTTGGGGGCCTTAATAAGAACAGGGTTTTTGGGGGCTCCTTATAACTGTAGTATAATATACCCCCAAACCCTATTCTAATTATTCAGGGCCACATATAAATTTCGGGGTGCTTGGCGGGAACCGGACTTGTGTTGAGCGTAAGGGTCTACTTAAAGGATCATGAACTTACAGTAGTAACTAAACAATGTTCCTGAAAAAAGGATCTATCAGTGTTATACAGGGGGCATTATTGATCACGTAAAGGGTCGTTACAGTTATGAACAAGGTAACTACATGATTGGTTATTTGCTCATATGCCTAATTGAGATACTTTTCTATCTTACTCAGTACCATGATCCTCCAAGTAGGGCTTACTTAGGTTTTAGGGTTACAGCCCTGATGTAGCCCCTGCACCCGAAACGCACAAGCCGAGAAGCCCTCAACCCACTAACTCTCTTAGCTGTAAACCCATGCATCTTACATACCACGAATCCTCACGTGCTTTGGACCAGGTTATAAGTAGGACCCCAAAGTCCTAAACCGATTATTATTCTTCAGCCGCAGCTTAGTGTCAAACTCAAGTAACATCCTGCCTGAACTTTAATTAGATCATACACCCTGAATGTGGGATTAGGACCGACGCCCAGATCCCCAGACTAGACTCCTCACAACCTTAACCCCAAAACCAAGCCCGAAAGCCCCGTATACAAAAAACACAATATGGGCAGTTCTCTAAATTAAGGTCCCTTTTAGATTCCCGTCTATAAGGGTGCCGCACTCTTTAGATCCCCAGCAACAGGGGCCCTCCTTTGGAGAACTACCCATGTACACAACCGAAGCCACGACAGGTGCCAATCTCGTGCGCTTTGCCTCATGTCAGACGCAGTGGCTGCGTTTGGCACCGCTCCTGCGTGGCGGTGCCTTACCAACAGGCCGGAAGAGCTTCCAACATCCCTATCAGTTCGGGAATAGACTCTGGATGATATGATCAGGGATCCTATAGTCATAGTTGAATGTATATGCATTAATTCTGATATTAGGGATCCTATAATTATAGTTTAAGGTATATTCATTAATTCTCATACTGGGGATCTTATAATTATAGTTTAAGGTATATTCATTAATTGTGATATTAGGGATCCTATAATCATGGTTTAGGGTCTATTCCTCTCCTTCTTACAGGTATACTCCTTCATTCAGGGTCTGGGGAAGAGCTTGAGTTGCTCGGGGTTTCGGTTGGGTGAGGGGTTGAGGACTGCCACCCACCCTGTAACAGTCTATATTAGGGTTTCTCAGCTATGTAACTATATGTAACATGTGAGGATATATATACACATACTTATATATATATATATGTATATATATATATATATATTTATTTATTTGTTTACGTAAATATATATATATATATATATGTCATAAATATTGTACCCAAGTGTTGCAGGGTGGGGGCACTATCCAAGGCTTAAGGTTCGAAGGGTGGGATGAAGGTAAGTAGGATTAAGGTTGCCTTACATACGGACTCTTCTCTAGGATTACCCCACCTATGGTGACTGGGGAATCGAGTCAGTGTTTGGGATTTACACTCAAGGCATTCTACACTGAAATTCTTTTTTCTGCCATGAACCCCGCGGAGGGCTCATGTGCTTTTAGGACCGGAGCTCTTGATCCTGCCGGATTGTTTAAAGGATATGAACAGCTGTTTGTTTTTTGCACACCTTCTCAAAGGAGCAGAGTTGCCACATCCGGAGAGAGAGGTGGGAGCTAGGATTAAGGGGACCCTTGGCGAATTTGACCCTTTCAATAAGGTCCCGTTTAAGAGAGCCAAAAGTGGGGTTNNCTAATCAGGGTTTAAGGTTTAGGGGTTTAGGGTTAGGGTCCATTTACCCAAATAGCATATACTTTAGGCCCAATGCTCGTTCTATAGGGTGTACTTTGCGGGCAAAGTTTATACTATACCGCTCGGGTACAAAGACCCTTAGCGTAACCTTGGAGGTTCATGGGTATAGTTACAAGTAGGGCTATAGGCCCACTTATCACTGCCCATGAACCTCCAAGCAGAACTTTAGGACCCCAACAGCACAGAAAGTAGAACAACAGCACTAGTCGAATCCCAAGTCCCTAAAGCCCCCGGGCTCCCCGAAACCCTCAACACCTAAACCCCTGCTTGGAGGTTCATGGGTAGTTATAACTGGAGTTATAATATAATTAAGGTGACTATTGCCATAACCGGTTATAATGCAATTAGGGTGACTATAGTTATAACTTATCTTAGGGGACTTATAACCATAGCTACCCATGAACCTCAGAGTAACCCGAGCTTTTAATCTGCCCCTTTGCCTGCTTCGCCCAAAATGTATCAGCCGACGTGGCAGCGATAGGAAACCTCCGGCTAATGTAGGGGCAATAATAATTAGAATCAGGTTTTGGGGGCTTCTTATTATAATTCTGCTCCAAACCCTATTCTAATTATTAATTAACGCCCCTGTATTGGATTCCCCACTCTTTCCTTCAAACTTTTAAAGGTACACTCTGAAAGGATCTACAAGGGCTCCTTCTACGGCTTTCTTTTTCGCACTCCTTTCCTGCAGGGTTACTTTAAAGGGGTCCTTTTGTCGGGATGTAGACGTGTTCCTTTAAAGGGATCTATGACGGTTTTTGGAGTCTCGGGTTTCGGGGATTTGGGATTTTAGGGTTTTGGGAGTTTAGCGGTTTAGGGTTTTTTGGAGTTTGGGGCCCAGGGTTTAGGCCTTAGGGCTTAGGCTTTAGGGTTTGGGGTTTAATTAGGGTTTTGGGTATCAAACGAAGACTTGTTCGACAAGAGAGCCATTCGGATTGCTGGCGTCAGGTATCCTCTCCAAAGGTGCCCACGCGTGGGTCAGCAAGTTCCTGCATGCATAGGACAATCTAGCTATCCAGCATCATGGGCAACTCAAGCTAGCAGAGGAGTAACGTCATTCTAAGCTCTCTATGATATAGAGGAAGAGTAAACGCCCTCCAAAGATTGTGGTGCTGGCGATAATGCCAACAAGGAAGAAGCGGCTGCTGAAGGCGGGTTTCACATGTTGAGACCCGAGACGGAGAACGGACCAACTCCTATCTCCAGAGCTTTGGCCCCGAAACTCCATTTGAAAACAGGTCGGAGAAATGATGAGAATGGAAAATTTGGGAGTGGTGGCAACTCAGCGTCCCTGAGGCCACTGCAGCCAAACAGGCTAGCAGAGATGGGACTTGGGAGCTAGGATTAGGGGACCCTTGGGGATATAGACCCTCTCAATAAGGTCCCTTTTAAGAGAGCCAAAAGTGGGGTTCAGAAGGGGTACCCTTTAAGGGGTACCCCTAATAATACTACCTAAGAGGAGGAGAGAAGAAGAGGTCAGGCCACTTTGGCAACGCGTCAGAGAGTCATCTCCTTGCGATAAGGCGACTCGCGGAACAAACCCTAAACCCTAAACCCTAAACCTTAAACCCCCTAAACCCCCTAAACCCTAAACCCTAAACCCTAAACCCTAATTGCTGCTAATGCGCTGCACTCAGAAGTTGAAAGATATGGGAGTTTCCGAAAATTAGGGTACCTCATTTTGGGTGTCCTTTTAATAAGGGTCCTATTATTTAGGGTACTATATTAGGGTCCCCTATTTTCGGAAACCCCCATATCCGGAGCAAGCAATGCCTAAACCCTAAACCCTAAACCCTAAACCCTAAACCCTAAACCCTAAACCCTAAACCCTAAAGCGAAGCTCTGGCGCTGAGCCAAAGCCGCCTTAGGACCCAGGGCTGCGAGCTGAAAGCTGGATCCTTGAATGGGTTTAAGATTTGGGGTTTAGGGTTTCTAAGGGTTTTAGGATTTAGGGTTTCTAAAAGTTTTAGGATTTAGGGTTTAGGGTTTCTAAGGGTTTAAGATTTGGGGTTTAGGGTTTCTAAGGGTTTTAGGATTTAGGGTTTAGGGTTTCTAAAAGTTTTAGGATTTAGGGTTTAGGGTTTCTAAGGGTTTTAGGATTTGGGGTTTAGGGTTTCATAGGGTTTTAGGATTTAGGGTTTAGGGTTTAGGGTTTTAGGATTTAGGGTTTAGGGTTTAGGGTTTTAGGATTTAGGGTTTAGGGTTGAGGGGTTTATAGGGGTTTAGGGAGTTCCCAAAGGGTCCTAGGCACTGCTATGGGGGCTACTTTCCCAAATCATAATAGTAACTCCCCGTACAGAAGCCCTTCATTCTACTATGTAGGTACTTTGGCCCCTTTGGGATTACAGGTGCCTTAATGATGTGAATGGATTATGGTGGCGGATTATTGTTAGCGTTATTGCTGTTTTTGTTATTATCCCAAAGGGTCCAAAGTACCTACATGGTAGAATGTAGGGTTTCTATATTAGGAATTGTTATTATGATTTTGGGAAGGTATTCCCCATAACAGTACCTAGGACCCTTTGGGTATGGCTCTTCCATGACACGGGTTAACAAAAAGGAACAAGACTTAGGCTTCTGCGTTAACCTCAATATCCCCCTCAGTCTTTGGACTCTTAAACCCTAAACCCCTAAAGCCCTAAGCCCTAAACCCCTAAACCCCTAAAGCCCTAAAGCCGTAAAGCCCTAAAGCCCTAAACCCTTAACCCCTAAACCCCTAAAACCCTAAACCCCTAAAACCCTAAACCCTAAACCCCAAAAGCCAGCCCCAAAAAACACCACCTTGCCAGGGCCCTCCCTGACGAATCTGCAGAAGGGGGCTCCTGGGACCCATATCAGAGATTCCGGTTTAGGGTTTAGGGTTTAGGGTTTAGGGTTTAGGGGTTAGGGGTTTAGGGTTTAGGGTTTAGGGTCTAGGGTTTAGGGTTTAGGGTTTAGGGTTTAGGGATTCACCCAGCTAGCCTTCGACAAGAGACAGCCGCCGTTATTTCAGGGTTTAGCTTTTAGGGCTTCTTACTTGGAGGATCATGGGGCCGAGTAAGTATACAAGTACCGTATTTTGGATTCTAAGCAGGCGTAAGTTTGGTTACCTTCTGCGTACTCCGAGCTGCGAAGCCCCATTTTCCTTTAAGCAGGCTGGAAAGACGTAAGGCTGAAGGCAGAAAGCTGGTGGCCTGAAGGCTTATTCAGACATGTTGGTTTTGGGTTTAGAGATTACAAGAAGTCCAAGTACCTAGTAATCATATACTCTCCAGGCATTGATCTAGATTACCACTATCCGCAACCGAAGTACCTTATTATTGGTATTGGGTCCTTTGGTCAGTTACCATTATGGTTTCGGAAAGTATCCCCCGTAACAGTACCTAGGACCCTTTGGGAACTCTCTAAACCCCTACAAACCCCTCAACCCCTAAAGCCTAAACCCTAAACCCTAAGCCCTAAACCCTAAACCCTAAGCCCTAAAACCCTAAAACCTAAACCACAAAACCCTAAACCCTAAAACCCTAAAGCCCCAAACTTGTACTTTGCTGCAGGCTCTTATTCTGAATCCGTAGATGGAGCTTACAGGGATCCTTCAATTTTATTGGTTCTGGTAGACGAAGTAATCACTCCTAACCCTGACACCCTTAAACCCTAAACCCTATACCCTAAACCCCTAAACCCTGACACCCTTAACCCTAAGACCTTTAACCCTTACGCCCTAGCATCCTGGCCCCTAAACTGTAACACCCTACCTTAAAGGACGAAAAGAGCCCAAAAAGGGTTTAGGGTGCATATACCATATAGGGATTCATGGTATAAGGGTATAGGGCCCCTACTTTTAAGGCTCTGTTCGTCCTTAAGGTAACACCCAAGACTGACCCCCTAATACCCCAACACCCTAACACCATAAGGGTGTTTGTAGCATCCGTGGGTCTTCGGGGGAGGGATGTGGATTCTCCACTGGAGAATCCCGGGTTCGGAGGTTCCCACCGGACTTTGAGATGAGGGTTTGGGATTTAATATAAAAGGCCTGAATAATCAGAATTTTTGTTTCGGGGCCCATGATACTATAACTATAAATAAGCAACCCCCCAAATAGTATTGGTAATTTTGGGGTTTCGGATTTAGGATTTGGGGTTTACGGTTTGGGGTTTGGGATTCGGGCTTATGGTTTTAGGGTTTAATATGGAAACTCGACTAACTTCTTATGTTGCGATTCTTCAGGATTCCGTTTAAGTATAATGAGTAGAATGTTCACCAAAAGCCTATTCTCATTGGAGCTTGAGGAACGTCTGGTATTCTTGTTCCTGAGTGTTCCTTGAAAGTTTATATGAGATACCGCCAAGACCCTATTCTACGTCGTAAGGCTCCGATATCAGGGAATCCGATACTCAAGTATAGCTTTGTGGTAAGATGGACCCCCCTGCAGGCTCATGAAATCGCGTAGACCTTTATAGAAACCTTGTTATTCTAGGTGCTGGGAACCTTAAACCCAAAATGTCAGCAGGTTTTTACCGCCAGCAGTGGTTCTAACCCTGGCAGGCTGCCAGATGGAAGGCCTTAGCCAAATGTAGCTCCAATATAGGGCCTAAACAATTACCCACACTGTTTGGGGGGGATCCTTATTGTAATTATAGTATAATATACCCGAAACCTTACTCTAATCATTAAGGCCCCTACAAAAGCCCTAAACCTGCTACCCTAAGCCCGAAAGTGGCCCTAAACCCTAAACCCTAAACCCATCAGCTGTGGGCAGCCAGTTGGGGTTCAACGGATCCTGGCACCAGCCTTGCAGTATCCGAGAAAGGAGCTCAAAAGGGATCTTCTATTTATTACGAAATATGGGTAGTGCTCTAGATTAGGGTCCCTTCTTAGGTCCCCAATATAGTACGGCACCTTTATAAAAGGACCCTGAAAGGGACCCTAATTTAGAGAACTACCCATACGGCTTAAGATAAGAGGCGTTCGATTTTGGTGTAGAAATGTGTAGACGCTCAAAGGGGTTGCGGTGTAGAGCCCTTATAAAGCCCTAAAGAGACCCGACTGCACCCCAAGAAAGGCCGTCATGACCGGAGAAGCACCCACTTTTTTAACTTTACCCGAGGATGCGATCTTTCAGACCTTGGCCAATGAGATGGCAGCAGCTCCTCAGACGAGAACTTGCTTGGAGGCCACCTAATCCGTCCTTAGGGTTTCGGGTCTAACAAGGCTTTCCCAAAGAGTCCAAAGTACCTTGTATAGTAGAATCTTGGGTTCTATAGTAGGAATGACTCGTCTGATTCGGGACAGTATCCCGCATAACAGTACCTACGGTTGATGATATGCATCCTGCATGGCACATAATAAGGAATATACCATAATTCCCATAGTTTAGGGTCCTTAAGGTACTGCAGGATTTTTTTATCATCAGCCGTAGGACCCTTTGGGTTTCGTTACAGGATCCACTCGTAGAAGGGTCCGGTACTGTAGAGCTCTTGGGTGCGTGTTTTGTTGGTTGGTTTTTGGGTTATGGCTGCTTTTACAACTTATTATGGAATCTCCAGGTAAATAAACAAGTATGTAAATGTGTGTGTATATATATATATATATCAGAAAACATAGAGATACATATTTTGTCGGCATACCACTAAGGGGAGTAGACATGAGCGTTCTAGGAGTGCTGTTGGGTTTAGGACCAGGGTCGTGGACTTACAATCATGGATCACTGGACTCTTGGTTTCACGGACTCTGAAAACAAGCGAGTATACGTCAGCAATATTCCAAAACCTTACAAGGCCCAAGGACCAAGGACCTTTCAGCTCGTAGCTAGGTGGCGATGAGGGAAGTTAGCCATCCTATATTTCAGTCTCTTTTATCTCTATACGTTGCTCACCCCAGCCGAATTTGCAACGTCACACGCAGCACACTTGTATGCATCTAGCTCCTTGTTTAAGTACGTATGTTTCTTGCCGCAGAATGCCGCAAGTTGAGAATCTGAATCCTGAACCCTATACGTACGCCCCTATACGGTCCCTCAAAATGCTCTTGATTAGGAACCCCAAAAGCACATAAGCATAAGCATTTTATAGGGATATCCCTACCTTATTGGGCTTCATTATAAGGGGGTTTATATGGGATATCCCTATCCTAATTTTGGCTTATGTTCTTTTTTAGGGCCCTACTTGAAGGAAGCTGACTTTTTCCTCACCAAGCCTTCCTCTTGTTTGTCTCACAAACGACATGATGCCATTGTTCGTTTCCTGCCCCACATCCGAACTGTCCTACCACCCCCTGCCCTAAACCCTAAACCCTATAAACCCTAAACCCTAAACCCCTACACCCTAAACCCTAAAACCCTAAACCCTACAACCCCTGGCAACCATAGGTGAGACACATGAGACTCGAACCATGCATTCTGAAGCCCATGCACCCTGCAGCCCTAAACCCCCAAGCCCCTAAAGCCTTACCTCAAGTTCCTAGCTATCTGCCTGGTAGGCTGCAGATTTTAGGGGTTTAGGGTTTAGGGTTTAGGGGTTTAGGGTTTAGGGGTTTAGGGTTTAGGGTTTAGGGTTTAGGGTTCCTCCAGAACCTTTGGGGGCCGTAGTTACAACTGGGGCTTTCAGAACCTTCAGCGGGATGTTAACGTTAAGAAGCTGTTTGTCCCTCACTTCTTAGAGTTGTATTTATTTGCGATTCTTTACGTATTCTCTCAGTCCGAAATCTTAAAAACTTGCACACCACAAAATCCCAAAATCTAAGTCCTCAACCCTTAGCCTCAACAACCCCGGATCACCTGGGCAAACGCGAACCTGCATCCCCGCAGGATGTGCTGGGCTCGTGCGGCGACGCCTCCAACGGACATCGGATCGAGCAGGTATTTTGCTGCTGTTAAGTTTAGGGCTTAAGCTACCCTAAACCCCAAACCCTAACCTTATACCTGAAGGGGAGTGCAGGGGCTGCTTTTTGATTTCGGCACCTTCAGGGTTTAGGGCTTACTTTGGGTTTATTTTCCTAGGTCAAGGGTTGATGAAGCCGCTTTAGTTATTGATGATTGCTCTTGGTTTAAGATCTGAATAAACCCTAAACCCTAAACCAAAACCCTAAACCCTAAACCCTAAACCGTCCGGGTAGGGTTCAGGGTGCTTACCCTAGAGCCGCGCTCTTGTGACAGAAGGAGGCTCAGGCAGAACTGCGCCGGTTTTCCCTAAACCCTAACCCTAAACCCTAAACCCTAAACCCTAAACCCTAAACCCTAGACCCTAAACCCTAAACCCTAAACCCTAGACCCTAAACCCTAAACCCTAAACCCCAAACCCCCAGTTACTCGGTGAAGATGTGCCCCGAGGGTTGATTGACAAATAGAGGAGGTCGTGCCTTCCCATATAGGCCCCATAGTAGTTCCTTTTTGGGGTTAGGGTTTAGGGTTTAGGGTTTAGGGTTTAGGGTTTAGGGTTTAGGGTTTATAGTAGTTCCTTTTGGGGGTTACCTTTATAGGATTCTATATCTGAACCCGAAAAAAGAACGACTTTAGGGCCCATGGGTTCCGCAAGAATCTGACTGAAGGCGCTCCCAAGTCAAGCGTCGTGTAATTGAGTGGCCGGAGTGAGTTGCCAGCATATTTTGTTGGGGGGATGTAGGGTTCTTCACATGCAAAATAACTATTTCACACTGTTTCTACCGAGTATCGTACTAGAATCCTGGTAAGGTTACCAGACTCCGTACCACCTGAATTTCCGTGCCTCCCTCTCTGGCCTACCTATACCCTAAACCCTAAACCCTAAACCCTAAACTCTAAACCGTAAACCCTAAACCCTATATATCATCAAAGGCTGACCGCATCCTTCGTCTTGCCTTGATGCCAGTCTTTACGGCCTAGGGCTTAGAGAACTTAGGGTTTAGGGTTTAGGGTTTGGGGTTTAGGGTTTAGGGTTTAGGGTTTTTTTTGCAAAGGGTTTGGTGTTGTACGGCGTCCTGTTCGGGGTCTTGAGATACAGCAATGGCTAAAACCCCACACACGAGTTTGTGAGGCCTTCCTAGAGATGCTAAACGCCAGCACATCTGTTGACGCACCAACATACTGACCCCAAGCTCTCAGACCCCTGTCTGATCCAAGATGTTAACATCGTTCCCAGACCTGAGGGTATTTAAGTAGGTAGTATTATTAGGGGTACCCCTTCAAGGGTACCCCTTCTGAACCCTACTTTTGGCTCTCTTAAAAGGGACCTTATTCAGAGGGTCCATATCCCCAAAAATCCCCCCCTAAACCCTAAACCCTAAACCCTAAACCCTAAACCCTACTCCTAACTCCTATAGCAGGCTCCAGAGCCCGGCCTGAACCCTAAACCCCAGACCCGAAACCGCTTCAGGAGCCGTCTTCCGAGATCTCCCTGACACCCTTGTTTGGGGTTTAGGGTTTAGGGTTTAGGGTTTAGGGTTTAGGGCTTAGGGTTTAGGGGTGTTAAAGGAAGCTAGAGGTGGGGAGTTTAGGGTATTATAGGGCTTCTATAAGGCTCCTATAAGGTATATAGACCTTCTGTAAGGCTCCTGTAACGGCAACTACCCACCTGAAAATGTCCTAGACTTGTCACACGGAGTCGTCCCGCTTTCGGTCCAATCCCCGAACTCGACCTAACATCTAAGTGGCTTTGTCGGGCATAAACCTAACGGTATTTGCAGTCCCGGCTTAAGCGTTCATCGCGAGTCTCCCAATGGGGCACCCCACTTGTCTAAAATGCACTCACCAAAACCTTCATATAAAGCGTGGAACTCAAGGACCTTCACATCCTGAACTGAAACCCTCCCTAAACCCTAAACCCTGAACCCCTAAAGCCTAAACCCTAAGCCCGAAACCGCCAACCCGAAATTTTGTATGACAGCCTTAACCCGAAACCATGATCCACACAAGAGTCGTAAAGCCCAGAACCCCGAAAGCTCAAGCCCTAAACACCATGATATAGGAGCCACAGAAAAATTACAGTAGGGTATTGGGGTATACTATTCGTTAATCATAATAAGGAACCCCCAAAATAGTATTTGTAATTATTCAGGCCCCTATTTTACAGACGTGGGATACACCCCTGCAAAACCTCTTGAAACCTGTTGAAGCAGAGGACTGGACATCAACAACCACTGTACCCGATAGGATAGAGTCCCCATATAAATTAAATTAAAATGTACCTCCAAACCCTGTTCTAAGTATCAAACCTGTACGGCCCAATACAGAATTTACCATGAGGGGCCCTTGACCTTTAAGGCTACAAAAAACCCTAAACCCCAACCCGAAAACCCCAAGCCCCAGTAAACCCTAAACCCTAAACCCTAAACTAAACCCTAAACCCTAAACTAAACCCGAAACCCTAAACCCTAAACCCAAAACCCACTAAACCCTGAACCCTAAATCCTAAACCCTAAATCCTAAACCCTAGACTAAACCCTAAAGCCCTACACCCTAAACCTTAAACCCTCAACCCTAGACTATAAACCCTAAATCCCTAAAGCCCTAAACCCATGGGCTTGTTTTGCTTGCGGCTTCTTTTGGTTCAGGATCTCAGCATTTAGGATTCAGAGTGCTGGGTGTTGAGGGTGAGGAATGTGGGGGGATCCTAGGTTCTGAGCTAGTATTTCAGCCATCTCAGCTTGGGGCTCTAGCTCTCGTATTTTTGGGGGTTAAAAATAATCACCTATACTTTTTTTTTGGGGGTTGCTTATGATATTTATAGTATAATGGGCCCTTAAACCCTAGTCTAATTATTGAGGCCCCTACATTACGGTTTGTTCATGTTGGTTCCGTTAGAAGAGGAACTAGGTCATCGGGGCTAGGAGGTGGTTTAAGTTCAAGAGCCAGGCAGGAAGCAACACGTCTTAGCCACATCAGACTTAGGACTTAGGGTATAGGGTTTAGGGTTTAGGGGTTTAGGGTTTAGGGTTTAGAGTTAGTGCTCGTCGCAGTTGTAGGTGGTCCGCGGTTTCACCGAAGGTGGAAATGCCCTCTTGCTGGACCACGTGCAGTAGTCGAAACAGAAATTGAGGTTTAGCCATGCGCACTGGATCCTAGTGGCAATTAGAACTTCGCAGAATTGAGGTTCTAGGGAAGTCGCCACATGTATCCGAAGCCCCACCGAAAGCCCAACACCCTGAACCTTAAACCCAAAAGCCCTAAAGCCCCAAAGCCCCAAAGCCGTCACACCCGACATGCATGACACCGCGAGGTTCAAAAAACATAGAAGCCGGAACAATTAATACGACCATGTCTTGGGGCTCCTGATCTGAACTAGGGTGTAATATGCCCCAAAGCCCAACTCCAATGATGAAGACCCTTCTAAACCCTAAACCCTAAACCCTCAAACCCTAAACCCTAAACCCTCAACCCTCAAGCCCTAAACCCTCAAACCCTAAAACTAACCCTGAACCCTAAACCCTAAACCCTCAAACCCTCAAACCCCTAAACCCTAAAACCCTGAAGCCCTAAAAGCCCGAAGCTCAACCCGGCGCCCTGGCGCTGCCAAGCCCTGAGCCCGAGAAGTCCGAGCTTCGAAGCATCTAATAAAGGGGGCCTTAAGAATGACCTAGTTTTTTTTGGGGGCTCCTAGGGTTTAGGGTTTAGGGTTTAGGGTTTAGGGATTAGGGTTTAGGGTATAAAAGGGGCCTTAAGAATTACCTCTTCTATTTTGGGGGGCGCTCCTTATTCCTTATGTTCAGGTTTCAGGGTTGAATGTGTAATATAGGGGCCTTAAGAATGACCT